GATCTAGTCAAAAGTGAGGGAATCCTGGAATAATTGAGGGAGGAAGGAAATAATAAATATCAATACATGTTTAGGACTATGTTGCTACAGTGAAGACTACAGGTTATTCTTCTAACCCTCTTGTGTCAATTATTTGCAGAGTTTGTGACTCGCTGTCATCTTGAAAGGGCCACTTTGGCATATTGAATTTAGTGGAAGGTATGAATACATCTGAGGAGTCCAAAAACTGGACTGTTTGGGGCCCCATTTGTGTACCACTTCTAAACTTTTTAGCTTTAACTTTTAGTTCAACCCCTATTTTAATAGTAAATTTGATGTGTTCTTCAGCTAGGTTCATGCAAGTGTAACCCAAAAGCCTCTTAACTTCTCTTGTTTCTTGGTCCAGAGCTTCTCTTATTCTGTATCATAAGACACCCATAGGAATCCACTAGAACCCATACATAAACAATCCAGAAGTGCAAAGTTGTTAATATCCCATTGATAATTGATATGTGTTTCTTCCTTTCTTTCCCTGGACAAAAAGATCTCAGGCATATTTCTTAGATCTCTTGGATTCTGTGGGAGAGAGCACCAGCCATTCATAGTGGTGGAACTCAGCAATGTCCTCTTACATTTTCTTTTTCTGTTTCCCTGCTTGATTGCAAAATTTATCGTTTTTGTTTTCTGTATAGAAACTTTTGTCTGAGGGTCTGCATTGAGAGCAATTTAGTCTAAGCCATTGAAAAATGAGAATTCTCACAGTTTACCCCAGGATTGCCATGAATATCTGAATGTTTGATTGCTTAGTCTAGCAAACATCAAATCCATGGAGACCAGAAAGTTTTAATCTCTTGAACTCTCTACAAGAAAAGAGACACCTTATTAAAAGTAATTGTTGCTTTAAAATAATCTTCACAGGGTAAAAATACTAGAGAAGTTCTGTATTGTGTTTTAATATGGGACGTAATGAATCACAAATTCGCATGCAGGTGTGATGGTCTCACAAAGATCATGATTCACTAAAAAAATGTGATGTAGGCTGTATTATTTATCTTTGAAATTTTTAAATGTGTTAAAGCAAAGTTAACTTTACTTGAATCTTCTGATGGCTTTTCAATTAACAGGAAAGATAGAGCTTGATAGATCCAGAATATCACAGATTAGCAATTCTAATCATTATTCTAACTGTAGTTTTCTTTTTGTCAATTATAGATCCTTAGGGGGTAATCCAAACTGCTGTGTAAAGAAGGCTCAGAAGAACAGTACAATTTAAAATACTAAAGTGGTTTTTATGCTGATTGAGTCTTTCTTTTTTTGAAAACATAAACACTTCTAACAACATTTAGCTTCTTTTTTTTTTTTTAAAGTTCTTTAAAATTAGAGTATAAAGCATTCTGGGGATATGTTACAAATATATAACTGACCTGATTACACAAAGTAATGAGTAACAAAATGGCTCAGAGTCAATGAATATTAGAGCTAAACTGGGGTCCTAAAAATAACCTACGTATGTCTTATGTTGGCAGCTGAGTTAAGTAAAGGCAAAATGAGATGAAGTAGCTTTCTCATCCTGGGGCCAGGACCCTGGTCCCTTGATTGACTTGACTGAAAGTCAATCTCTTCCATCTTTTAAAATTTGTTGAAAACATGTATTTTTTTCATTAGTTTTGAATAATTGTATTTGTTTTCACAGAATATCCTTCTGCTTTTGCCCTGAAACAGAAGCTACTTAAATGAGTAAAATATTAGAATGTGAAAGGAAACCTGAATGTGTTACACATGGAAATATGTGTGAGTTACTTTCCACTGGTTAGCACTGGCCTTATAAAAGAACAATCTTCTGGGATGTATCCCCTAGATATATTCCTCCTGAGGGATGATCTTGGTCTATTCATGAAGATAGCCGTGGCCACTCCAGTGATATTCCAAGTCTGACTGACTCTCCCAAAGTGAATCAGATGATTTTCCATCACAGTCTGTTTGGCCTGACTCACTGAGTCCCATTCCCACTTCACATTCTAGTCTACTAGGTCCTGGTAAACAGGCCTCAATATGTAATTCCAGTACACAGGAAAACTTGCTTCCAAATGAATTTATAGCAAGTCTCATTCTCCTTTACCTATGGAAAATAATCTGAGTGTGCAGATGATGTTCAAAACAACTAAATTTCTGTGTCACATAGTTAAGAGAGTTTACATTGAGATAATTTTAAAAAAACACAGAACCCTTATGGTTTGAAACAGCAAAAGTTGATTCCTTAAGTGTTATGTGTCCAGTGCAAGTCATCAGGTAGGGATGCCGGAAGGGGAGCAATGCTTATTACAGTTACTTGGGCTGACAGAGGCTCCAAACAACATATGTGTTCAAAGAGGTTACACATGGGAACATGATAACATGCATACAATTTGATAAAGTTTCTTTGGAGAAATTTTACTCCACTTATTTCCAAGGTGGTGGAAGAGGAGAGATAGAAATAATTTGTAGACAGAGGTAATAATGACCATCACAACTCGCTTTTGATATTCCCCCACCAGCACCCATAGAAGAGACTACATAAACCACTTCAAGTTCCTGGTCTACCTCCTACACATCATCGGGCTTAGCCTGTTTTCTCTGTCCTTGCTTCTGTCTTCCCTTCTAGAAGAGTTTCCACTAGGATTTGACTATATGGCATGTGTTAGCAATCTTTCTGTCTGTATTGATCTGGTTAAAGCCCTGGTTGCTTCCTTTGGAAGCATAGCTATATGCAGCCCACAGGCTAACATCACATCACCCTTGAACTCATCCCTAAAGTCATCCAGAATCTCAACTTATGCATAGCACCTCAAGTCTATGATGTTACAAAAGGATCATTCTGAGATAGATTAGGAAAAGGAATGAAGTGAGACTGCCATAAAAAATACCTGAAACATGGTATTCATATTTTTAAAAAAGGACTGACCAAATTGATTTAAAACCTCAGTTTGAAGCCATTGGAAAGACATCAGAGATACCAAGAGGAAATAATTATTTAATTTTTAAATTTTAGTATAGTTGTATTATATGTCTACCTATGTGGGAGATAAATATGTATAAAATATAGATATCTAGAAGCTATTGAGTGAAAAATAAATTTCTGAAAGAATTTTTTCAATTATGTACTTTATTTGAATACTGTTATGTAAGAGGTCAAAGATTCATAAGAAGGGACTAAAAGGCTAAAATCATAATGGGAACCCAAAGGAATTTGTAGAGATTTTCTGTAAAAATTCCACTTATAACTAAATTCTTTCCAGTTCTCACTATACTGGGAGGTGGAATAATCACCAAAACTGAGAGCTTAATTCTAGGTTCTGTTTAATTTTAACTAGTGCGGAAAACTTGAAAAAGTTAGTTTGCGCTCTGGGCCTAATATCCTCAACTGGGTGAGAATATTGAACTAAATGGTGTGAAAGGTTCCTTTTAGATTGAAATTAGAGAAGTCTTTTCTTCTTGGCATCAAATCTACTTAAATGTGTCAAGGGAGTGAGATCAGAGTAGAATCCTCCTTTAGCTTATTTTATTGACATTTTGGGTGTGGCTCCCCATTTCTCTCGGGTAACAGGTAGCCCCACTCAGAAATGCTACATGTTTGTAAAAGACCTTGCATGTTTATTATTATTATAGTTTACAAGAGTATAGACTATTCTTCTTTATTCTGTAAGAATTCCAAGGCCAGCTGCATCCTATTTGAGTCACTACACTGGACTCCACACGCAGACATAGATAGCCTTAAAAATGGGTTTTGTCAAAATACTTACTGGTTCATGCTAGAGAAAGAGGTTGATTCCCAAGATATCTCTCAGTCAGGAGTCACCCTGACCCTAAGAGCAGAACAATCTGATGAGTGTGATCAAGGCGCTAGTCTTGCAGCTCTTTACTCCAAGGGTGCTCAGATGGATGAGACATCTATTGAAAAACCACCTAGGTCAGGTCAGAAGAAAATTTCACAGGCCACACAGGGCCATTAATTTGCTGAGTGAGATGTGTCTCTAGCCTTGCCCTCCTAATGTAGGAAATGAAGGGGTTTTATTAGAGCAATGGTTACTGAGGCCCATTGTCTAAGTTAGATTAACCTAGGCTCTCTGTATGGTCCTATAAGTTTTCAGGCTTCAGAAAAATGTTTCCTCTGATGGTTTTAATTAAGAATAGACAGAAAAGACAAGGATCTAAGCTGGAAAAGCAGTTTTGAGGCTCAGGTAGGAGACAGGAAAGGACAGGAGTAGTGGAGATACTGAAGTGAGATCAGATCCCGGCACTATTTTAAATGCAGTGACAATAATATTCTTTCATGGTTTGAATGAAGAGAATAAAAAATAGAGCAAAGGAAAGGTGACTTCAAGTATTTTTGGCCTAAAAACCTGAAGGACAGAGCTGTCATTAACTTAGGGAGAAGACTGTGGGAACATATATTACATTTTTAGATAATTCATGTAACTTATTATACCATATAAGATGGTATTATTTAATAATGATATCATTTATATAATTTATTTAACTATGCTTATATTTGTATATATATATATGAGAAAGGTTTTGAGAACTCAAATTTGAACACTTTAAGTTTCAGATAACTGGCATGTTCATGAATCCCCTAGTGTGTTTTTCTATGCATATATAATATTATGTATACATCTGTAATCATCCTCTACATATCATTGAAAAGAGTTAGCCAACTTGCTTTAGGCAGACAGTAAGGGAAGGGTCCCTCTAGAACCTCGGACCCCTGTTTTGTGCAGATAAGGGAACTTGCATAGGGGGCTTGCCTAAACCTGCCCGCAGGGGCCCTCAAGCGCACTGGGGAAATGGGGTGGAGCCACCAGGAATTTGCACTTTATACAAACAGGGAAACCAGCCTTATCAGCTTTTATGTAAAAGCTCTTGTATTCAACTGCGAAGAGTGAAAACCAGCTTTCAAGAACCTTTTTGTTGAGAGCTTTCCTTTTCGCATAATGAATTTGACTCCACTGACTCTTCAATGTCTGCATGCCTATTTCTTCCAGGTGGTGAGAAAACAACCTGAACCTGGCTGAGCTAGGGAACAAAAAATTCCTGCATCGTTGTTCTATAACATTCTTCTTTCTTTGGACCCAGGTGAGTAAGGAAGATCTTTGAGAAACTCTACATGCTGCTACTTCTTATAACATGCTTCTTCTCCAGCAGGTCTCAAAGCGATAGAACACTTGACCTCTAATAAATAATGCGAATTTATTTCTTAATGTAATTCATCTGAAGGATGAATACTTTTTATTTTCTGAAGTTGGCAAGAAAATGTGGTATATTGTGATAAATTAAGCCCCTCAGGCTAAGATGATGTATTGTAAGTTTTGTTGGAAGGATAGGCAAGTCTCTGGGGGTGTTACAGTGACAGTGTATGGAGGGTATGGATAGATTTTTGTCCAGTGTTGAGATTCTCCAGTACTTCACTAAACCCTGAATCACAAAAACTATTTGGTTCCATGGCACCTTTCCGTTTGTTGTAAACACAAAATGTGCCTTATATTAACCCTTGAGCAATTGACCACAGGATTCTGAGAGAGATTGCTCTAAATTTATTCACCCATGAATAAATTTGGATATGGATGTTTTCATTCTAGCTCAGATAACTCATTATTGAATTCCTTGGAAAGAACTTTGCTCCCTACATAAAAAACAAGCAAACAAACAAACAAAACCCAAAACAAACATGAATTTCCTTTGGAGACAACGTAGGACGATTCTCTAAGGAAGAACTCATATCAGTATTGCTTACAAAGTTACTTGCTTGTCCTTTAGGAACAATAGGCCTCTTATTCCTGTACCTCCCTCCACTCTTTTCCACATTATGCTGCTTAAATGCTCTTGGCTTTGTCTTGCCCACATAAGGCCTGCCTGCAACTACAAGACAAACCATTCGTACAGGAAATGGTTGCTCTTTGCTACTCAGAGTTAATACTGCCAGGTCTCATTTCTTTTTATTCTCCCTCTGAACAAAGATGATGAAGAGAGGGGTTACTGATTTGTCCCATTCGTGCAACATATGGTTTAACAATCATTTATGGGTTATATTTCTACCTTCAGATCCCAAGCACAGTGCTTCTGTTTTAACAGGTGCAAATAATTGTAATAAGTTATATGGCATATGGGAAAAAGGAAGAAAATGAAAGGATACTAGGGGGAAAAAGTAGTTACAAAATGGGGCAAATTAGCAAAAACAAAAAATGAAAAGTAATCAACGAAAAACTTGCTAATTGTCCAAGCTTGCTGCTGGCTGACTGAACCCAGTATATTCAGGGAGTATACTTCAGACCCAGAAAAGTTCCTGTGATGACAGGAGGAGTGAAGGGTGTTCTAAACATCAGCCTGATACAAACCAGCTTCTTCTTTCTGTTCCAAGTTTCCAGCTCTTGGCTCACAAGCAAAGTGACATTTGGCCCAGAATCCCCATAGCTGTCAGTTCTAACAAGGGCCAGAGCAATTTTGTCCACTGGTGTGGAATGTTCCATGAAGTGACCAACGGTACACATTCCAGGCTCTAGGTGACTCCAAGCCTTACATTAGGCATCTGGAAAACAGAAAGTTTACCTGCAAACTGGGAGCAGTTTTTAGACAATAGTCATTGTTTGGAAGACTTTATATAAGCAGAAGCTATACATGAACACAGAGCCTGGAAGCTTGTCCAGAACAAGTAATTGAATTGTATCAGATTGTCCTGGAGAAAATTACCCACCTTTGCTGAGAAAACCCATATCAGTGATTTCAACAGTGTTCTTTATATACATAGCATGTTCTAATAAATATTTAATGCATCTATCAATGAAGGGTTCTTAGTTCATTTTATTAACTCATGCTCCTTGGTGCCTGCAAGTAGGATGGTAAGATTGATCTTCTATGTACCTGAAATAAAGTGATTGCTCTTGGTAAATGATTAGTGTGATATGAGCTACTCTTTTATAATCAAATCATCTCATTATATTTTCCTTTTGAAACTTGAGTTCTTATTGAAGTATAATTCACTGACATATGTCAGATTACCCAGAAAATGTAAGACTAAGATCTGTGTGTAGTTGGCTGTCTTTGTTTGTTTCTTCTTCCATAATGAAATATCTGAGACTGGGTAATTTACAAAGAACAGAAATTTGTTTCTCACAGTTCTGGAGAATGAGCAGTTCAATATGGCATTGGTAAGGTCACTCTCTGGTGACGGCCTGGTCTTTGCATCCAAGATGGCATCGTGATGCTGCATCCATCCTCCAGAAAAAAGAACGCTGTGCCATCACATGAGAAAAAACGACCTAGCTAGTTCCCTCCAGCCCTTCTATAAGGTTGTTAAAGCCATTCATGAAGGTGGAAACCTCTCCTAATCACCACCCAAAGGCTTCACCTCTTAATACTATCACATTTGGGATTATGTGTCAAAATCTGAATTTGGGAGGGACACATACAATCAAATAATAGCAGTGACTTTTGGGATTGTGTTAGAGAAAAAAAGCTGCTCATCAGGAGAAGTTGAATTGATGAAGTCACATCAGCAGCATTAGTCAATCCCATAAGGACAGTAGTGCAGAGATAGCCTGAACTGAGATGAGAGCCTGGACCTACATACCAAGTATTAACCAATCATAGGGTAAAGGCTGTCTTCAAGGAGAACGTGCAACCTTAGGAGAAGCAGTTCCATTTGGATGAGGGCAATTTCCAGAAAGGGATGCTCAGTGTGCATTTAGAAGCCACCTCTCTCAGCAGCTAAGAAATGAGCATGTCAGTCCTGAGAGCATATCTGGTCAGCCCAGGGAGGCTTACCACAGTCATTGACTACAGTCTACTCCTTACACTGTAATTCCTTACTTGATCATTTAAATTTATTTCTTTTGGAAACAGCTGCTCCAGGATTCCTGTTGATTTTGTTTCCAGGAGGGTTAGTAGGGAACCATATAGTCCCTGGCACTACAAGTCGTCATGAGCTTCTAATAAATACTCATGATCTCCCACCCTCCTACCCATTCTAGATTCCCCTAATCTTGTCTAACATCTCTTCTAGTCTAGATAGCTTAGCTTGGTAGGGTGCTCCAAACCCTCATTACAGGCAAACCTCAGAAATATTATGTGTTTGATTCCAGACTAATGCAATAAAGCAAATATCACAATGAAGTGAGTCTCACAAATTTTTTTATTTCCAAGTGCATATAAAAGTTGTTTACATTATACTATAATCCATTAAGTGTGCAATAGTATTATGTCTTAAAAACCCTACCTACTTTAATGAAAAAATACTTTATTGCTAAAAAATGCTACAGAACATCTGGTGGCAAAGGGTTTTGCCTCCGTTTTCAGGGATGCTGATTGATTAGGGTGGTGTTTGCTGAAGGTGTCTGGCAATTTCTTAACATAAGACAATGAAGTTTGTCACATTTATTAACTCTTCTTTTCACAAAAAAAAATTTCTCTGTAGCATGCAATGCTCTTTGGTAGCATTTGACTCACAAAAAAACTTTCAAAATTGGAGTCAATCTTTTCAAGCTCTGCTACTGCTTTATCAACTAAGTTTATGTAATATTCTAAATCCTTTGTTGTCATTTCAACAATGTCCATAGCATCTTCACCAGGTAGATTCCATTTCAAGAAACGACTTTCTTTGCTCATTCTCAAGAAGCAACTCCTCATCTATTCAAGTTAGATCAAGAGATTGCAGCAATTTAATAACATCTTCAGGCTTCCCTCCTAATTCTAATTCTCTTCCTATTTTTCCACATCTGCAGTTACTTCTTCCACTAACATGTTTCTTGTTTTTTCTAACATTGGAAGTTTTGAGTTTTGACTAAGTTTCCTGTAGCACACCTCTATATTAAAAATTTTCTAATGCTTTTTTCATTATTAGACTGGGGTTATAGTTGGGAAAAGAAGATCACAAAGTAAAGTGCCATTTTTATCATATATCAAGGGTACAAACAATATCACTTATGACTATTGATATTGACCATGGTCCTGACTGAAGTAATTTTTGTCAGATGCCTCCACTGTAAAGTTACGCTCACCCCACACACTCTCCATACTGCCATCATCGGCAGAAAGTCACTATGTTAGTTCACACTTAGGGAGTGGGATGTTATATGCTCCCCCTTCCTTAGGGTGAAACATCTACATAATTTATTTGGAATTCAATATGAGAGATTTATCTCTTCTCCCCCATTTATTAATTTGTTAATTCATTTGTTAATATTAATATGAAATCATAAAGATTTATTTTATACTTTAGGTTAAAATCCAACACTACTTTATTTTGATACTCAAATTGTTCCCTCTTTGAACATCAAGAGCTTTTAGTTGACTCCTGTGTCACTTTGACATACCCTTATTATTGTGGATTATTGTTGCTATTGTATTGCTTCCTTACTTTCTGGTACTACAAGATTCCCTAGGCTTATTTGAGTATTTCCTCTTCCAGTTCCCAAATCAGAGTTTCTTTAGGAAACTCTATTTTCTTTCACTGGAGATGAGATAGAAACCAAGATCTAGGTATTAGGTGTGCTCATTGCTACTGGGGTGACATTTTTCAGTTGCTCCCAGCTAATAGTAAAAAACACTAATCCATATATATATTAGGGACACATACTAAGTTAAACATAGTTTCTTACTGATGTCTCTCATTCTAATCTGATACCATATAGATCATGTTAGTCACTTTCTTTGTTGTTTATTTACAAATTTCTACTCAAACATTAAGAATATAGTTCCCATCATATGCCATCCATTTCCTTAATTGTTCAGTTACAGTATACATGTATCGTAGCACATTTTTTTTAACCTTTATCCTCATGAGAAACAATTTTGCCAACTATTGCTTATCGTGCCATTCATTTTGCCTTTAATGTTGCAGATTCCATTTATCTCCAAAATCACTTAGATTGATACTTCTTCTCATATTCCTTTCAGTGAGATTGTTTTATACATTGTTGTTATAATCAGCTTATCTTGTCACAAACAGCATTCTTTCCTGGGATCCTTGACCTCCTAAGTTTTTTCTTTTTAATTTGTAAATATTAAGATTAACTATTTTCCCAGGGATGAAGCCAACTTGATCATGGTGGATAAGCTTTTTCATGTGCTTCTGGATTCAG